AAAAATAGAATGACATCTTTTGTAAATTTGAAGAGGTAGAAATGATATTTTCGTTATAAAAATTGATTCACTCTCTATAGAGGTGCACGACTTTCATATTTTGTTATTTTAAAGAGAAAAGTTAAAAAGTGTGTTTTAGTCTATAAATTATAGAGGGATTATATAATAATTATTAAATATCAAGGAGTAAATCGTACTCAGGCCTCGTTTGGGAATCCTCCTTTTTAGTCAAAAAGTCAAAAAGTTACTAAAATTAGTCAAAAAGCCAACAATCCATACCAAAAAGTCAAAGATTCTCTTTTCTCTCTACTTTTTGCACATCTTTTCGTAAAAAGCCAAAAAATCATCCAAAACATACTAATTTTTTTTAGCTCATATTTTAGTCAAATAACCAAAAAATTACTAAATTAACATGTTTCCAAACGAGATCTCAATTCAAATCATAAGAAAATAAAATAGAATTTGTTCTATAAAATAAAAACTGTTTGTTTGAAAAGAAAATTTTCGTTGACAAGGAATGTAATCCATGATTATTTTTTTTCTCTTGGATAAGGATCCAACCTAGGGGGGGAAAAATCGAATGATGTCAGCCGGCCATGGCACATAAGTTGAACACCTCCGCGAATGTGGGTCTGCGTCAGATTGCACTTGAATTGATGTGACTTGTCTTGTTTGCCAAACTAAGAAAATATTTACCTGAATGGCCAATTTGTATATTTTAAGGGTAATTTTATTCGGAGGATTTCTTTCCGTTCATATTGGAGAGGTTGTATAAATAAGGCTCATTACAAATTTTGTTTTAATAATTTATATTATTAATTTTATCAAGTATTTTTGTATTTTATTTATAAAAAAAATTAATTCGATCTGATAATTAAGAATTATTCAATTTATTGTTTTTATCAAAAAAAAAATATATGGTTCATTTTTTAAAAACACAATTGTCATATATTTTTTTTATTTATGAAAAACATAGTAAATTGAACAAGTTATAGTTATCGGATTGATTTAATTTTTATGGATGAAAATTGAAATACACGAAGTGTCTAACAAAATAAATAGTTCAGATCATCGAAATAGGACTCATGATAGTCCCACGAGCCCAAAAAATCCCCTCTAATTTAGATTTTGGATGGGAGGAAATCCTCCTCCATTTTATTTACACATCACAAAAAATTTCAATACAAACTATTTATGTCGTTCAAATATAAATTTTTAAACAAAAGTCTAATATTTAGATATAAATTTTGAACAAAAAACAATTGATCGAACATAAACAATTGAACAAAATATATATTTGAATAATTTATTTTTGTTCATCAGTTTATCCCAAAACATTTATCTTTTGTTTGAAAGTTATACCTGAAAAAAATAAATAGTGTGCATTGAGATTTTCTTGTGGTGTGCGAATAAAATTTTCCTATTTTTAAGGACACTCAGGTTAAATGTCCACTTATGAAATTATTGGATCAATTCACTCAAGTTTAAATATTTTTTTGACTAAAAAGACAATTACCTGTCCAAAAGCATACCCATATCTCTATTTGGTGAAGTGTAAGGTCAAGTTTGGCTAACCTAAAAAAGTGTACTTATTTAATCTTTTTATCTTTTTTGGGTCATATCAATCAACATCTTCTCTCTATTTTTTTTACACATAATTCAAAAAAAGTCAAAAAATATACTTATTTAGTTTTCCCAAACTTACCCTAAGTTATCTATTCAAATGTCACATATGTGGACATGTCACATATTTATACACGTTTTACCTATTTATTTATCTCACCTCCACCAGTCACTTGTGACTTTTTTGACTAATTTTTTAGCGACTTTTTAACCTATGTCCTTATTATAAAAAAAAAATTAGTGTGAACTTTTTCACTAGGCTTCGTTTGGCAAGAGTTTTTTTGGTTATTTTAGTCACAAAAAACAAAATAGACTATTTTAGTCACAGCAAACAAAACATCACATTCAACCGATAATCATTACACTATTCTCTCACAAAAAAAATTAAAAAAATTAAAAAGTCAAAAAATTCTTCACAACTTTTTAGCCTAAACTAAAATAATTAAAAAATTAAAAAGTTAAAAAACTAACCTAGGGCGAATAAAACTTATTTTTAATTGGAAGGTTGGAGAATCAATATTTACATAAATGTTTACTGTCCACACAATAAAATAGGACTCCATTCTTTGCCGTCCCAAAATTTGCTTCTTAGGTTAACAATCATTACACTTGAGCTGATGAGAAATGCACTTCATCCTTGACTTTTTATGGGTCCGTTTAGGAGTTAAAGTCAATTTTTTTGATTATTTTAATCACAAAAGATAAAATAAATTATTTTACTTATAAACATAAAACATTACATCTAACTTATAATCATTATATTTTCCTCTTACAAAAAATTTTAAAAAGTCAAAAAGTTCTTCCCAAACTAAGTTTTTTAACCCAGGCTAAAATAGTCAAAACAACCAAAAAATCAAAAAGCCAACCCACTTCCCAAACCAACCCTATGCAACATCTCTACAATACTTGACTTTTTAAGGGCATTGATTTAGACTACTTTAAAACTCCCATCTCTACCACCCCTACACACATGGTGGGGTTGGGGATTGGAAGAGAAGAAGAAAAAATAATAATAAAAAAATAAATAAAATAAATGTTGACTAATCAAAAGCAAGGGGGTCATGGGGTGACCGCTAAAGGGGGTCCCAATCTTTATTCTTGAATATCTACCTCAGTATACTGCTTGTCTTATCTCCTTAATTAATATTAATTAATACATAAATTATGGACCTTAATCACTTAAAACGTGGCGAACCACTAATGAACTAACACATGCTATTTCTAAATTTTTTTTTTTTTTGGATAATATGGTCTTTAGCAAAAGTAGATGTGTCAAGATGCATGCATTCTGAACATTCAATATAGTCCTCCTAATCAATAATACGATCACATTTTTATATTAGATTTTATTTATCTCATGAATTATCACTATTAAATTAAAAAATAAATAAGTAATTAGGTCCATTAAACTAATATTGTGGTAACAACTCACAATCTTTATGGTATTAAGACTATGCTAAATTTTTACTTGCATTAGTGGTACAACAATATTACAAAGTAAAAGGCAAAAAGTTTGAAAAATTGTCAATCGCACTATTTTTTTATAAAATTTTAAATTATTTTTCTGATGGCATCAAATTAAATTTGAAAACTAATTACTATTAACGACAAGTTTCATCGTTTGGTAAATCATCCAAAATAAGAATAAAAAAAGCCAAGTTGCATAGAAAAAGAGGGAAAAAAAACAAAAACAAAATAGAAGACAAAAGGATAGCTGCCATAGTTTTTGCTGCTTTGTCTTTACCCTAATTTAGTGGGGTTCTAGCTCACTCAATCATGACCATGAAATAAATAAAGGGTAAATTATATTAAATCCTTTTAAATCATCGATCATTTATACTTTATTCTTTTAATATTTTAAATTTAATAATTATTCTCTTAAATTATTTAAATTTAAACATTAAATTTTTTTATTAGTCACCTGTTATTATTTAAATAAAAAATTATTAAGTATTGTGCACATGATAATTATATTAAATTTTATGACCTCATTATCCTATTTAGTACATTTTCATATTTTTTGTGTATTTATTGATTTTTTTTTAAAAAAAAATTATAAATATTTTACTTTTTAGATACATTTAAGTAAGGTACATTTAAAAAAAATAAAAAAAATTACTTTAAATTTTAAAAATATTTACTAAATTTTAAAAAAAACACGAAAAATAAAAAATATAATTTCTAAAAAACTAAAATCAAATATAATTTTGTATTTTAATCAAATAACCTGAGGTATATTTGTCATTTACCATTTCTAATATGTGTCCTTTGGGACACTCGAACCTACAAGTTTGACAAAAGTTGATAGTTATCCAAAACACCACCCCATAGATAAAATAATAAAATAGTTCTATTATCACGACAAAAATTATACATAAAATCAATAAGATTTTACAAAATTTATTTATGGAATTCATTTTCAAAAATATCTTGTCTATACATATCCCGACTCTGAGTTTAATATAAATTAAAAGTTGATAATCTTAATTACTTATTCAGTTTTCTTTTAATTTATTTAAATTATTTTTATTTCATAAATTATGAATATAAATTACATTAAATAGTCTGGTACAGACTTTAAAATTAAATAAGTCATAAATAGTTTCGATAAATTATACCAAATAGTCTCATAATTTAATCTGATTTTACTGTCAATTTCTGTATTTTTAAACTAGTTAAAACTTAGTACAAAATTCAAAATCATCTTAATCTTGTGTTGTCAATCGGCCACATTTTATATTACAAAGTCATGGTTGTCATCCCAACTACTCTTGACCTAGGAAAATTCCTTCACGTCTTCACCCTCTAGACATATCATCAATCTGATATATATATATACCGACATTGGATAACCTCCTCAACCCTTCACCTTTCTTGGCTCTTATTTTCACGTCTTCACCCTCTGAACATTTTATCAAATCTTATAAATACCGACATTGGATGACCTCCTCAACCCTTCACCTTTCTTGGCTCTCATTTTCACTTCTTTAGTAGTGTTTTAATCTCTCTTTCTTGAAGTTGTTATGATTGTGTGGAGCGGACGTCAGGATTCGAATCTGTCTGGATCATGAAATGATATGAGTTTTGTAATCCTCGTACGTCGAATTCACCTCGTTCAATCTTTCTCTGTTGTTTTTCTTTATTGGTTTTATGTTTTCTCATGAATTAAGCCTTTCACCAAAATCTCTACAACCATCTTCAAAAGATTCTTTTTTGTTAAACCCTTCATTCCATCCATCCATCCATCCAACCATCCAAATTATTAACATTGTGACTTCTCTACACGATCCAACGGGTGTAAGCTACATTGAAAATCTGTGGGTCGTGTTTTCTTGATTATTCTTGTTGCTATTGCTTCTGAGTGTGATTTATATAAGATGAAGAAATTGCCAAAGCATGGTAGCTCGTCATCGGAAGCTGAAGAGCGATACGCAACGATGGACGAAAAGAAGCGGAAGAGAATGATATCAAACAGAGAATCAGCAAGGCGATCAAGGTTAAGGAGAGAGGAGCACATCAAAGACCTCAACTGCCAAATAACCTTTTTCAAGAACAGTAACAATGGGATAATTAAAAAAATCAATTCCATAACACAACAATTCATGGCAATTGAATCCGATAACCAAAAGTTAGCCACGCAGCGCGATGAACTCACAAAGACTTTGGAGTCTCTGGAAATTGTTTCAAGCTATGTCAAAGACATACCTCAATGTAATTCACACCCATGGCAGCTCTCTCACCAATCTCCACCACTCGTTGCGTCGGTTGGGATGTTCAAATTTTGAAACTAGCCATGTTGTGAAATTGGCCAATGTTGTTTATATAGGTTTGTGCATAGATAGCATTGTCACTTCTATTAGGTTGCTTTGAGTTTTGCTCTGTTTTAGTTGTGGTTTGAAATGTCCTAGTTCTTTGTATACCGAGTTTCAAAGGTTTTTTTTTTCGTTCTCTTTCATCAATTCATGATTATGTATGTGTGAGCATGTTTGTTTACTTTACCCAATTGTTGCATATTAGAAAGACAATCCATATATTTTCCCTCCACATTAGCTCTATCTAACCCTCAACCCCTATAATTCATGGAAGGTTCAACACCAATTTGGTGACCTAAACATATGCTAAAATTAGATCTGTCCTCGAGCTACACTTCCTAGACATCCATTTAATGGGAATTAAATTAAGTGCAATATCTTCTCTTTTTTATTATTACTTATAATTCACTATTAAATTGTCCCAATACACTGACTTAATATGTTGACATGATACTTTTAAACCAATAAAAGTAATACTCACTAGATAGGTAAAGCCAACCTGACTTACCTTAGTCAGTTGGATGAGAAATAATGTCATTCTCATTTGTCCTTTTATGTGACTTCATTTGTTAGAAACACTAAACACGTTGACATGATATTTTTGAACCAATAAAAGTAATACTTATTGGATAGGTAAAGTCAACTTGACTCATCTTGGTCACTTAAATAAAAAACAAAGTCACTCCCATTCATGTTTTTATATAACTTTACTTATCAAAAACACCACATACACATGTCAAAATAGCATACACTCTGAGACTACTTAATAATTGTCCTGTTGGATGTTGTGCTTGTGGTGGTGTTTCAAAGAAAAAGCTATGACGGAAAGTCTACAATGTGCGACACATGATGTACTGTGCACCTATTGTGTGGTATCCTGAAAAGTGATTGGCTTAATAGGTCATGATCAATTTTTGGTGATTCGACTCAATGGGTCACGACCGGGTGCACATGATGTGTAAACGCTTAAAAGGTTGCATCCTTTAACCGTTCCCAAGTTATTATGTATTCTTAAAATAATTCTTCATGCCAATTATCAATTAACACATACTACATGTTATCTCATAAAATAGCAACACTAGTTATTATGTATTCTTGAAACAATCCTTCATACCAATTATCAATCGGCACATACTATATATTATCTGCTAAAATAACAACATTGAAACACCACATGTACTTGATTCAGGGGCACTGAATAATTTCCCATTTTAAAGGGTAGTGTGTAATTGTGGTCAAGCCAACCCAACTTTATCCCTTGGGGTTCTAGGACAGTGACAGAATTCTTATCAGAAAAACCACGTCGGCTTTTGAGAATACATCGCTTGGGTTGGGGCCTTCTATAGATCTCTTTTCTAAAAGAGTGTGTGAATGAACACCTGCAGTAACGGAGGTTCGCATTATGAGGAGCAATGTCAGATAACGAAATACTCCATTTGGAGGCTTCTTTCTTCAACCAAACAAGCTCATCATTCAAAGCAGCCATATACCACCCAATATCACTTCCATATCGGAACGATCATCAGACTCCTTCCAAGCTTTCAACAATACACTCTGCCGCAAAAGGGACAAACGCTTTTGCAAATATATACTCCTTGCCCTGCATTTTCATGAATTTTTTATTAATGGGTCAATATAGATATATGCTATAAGGAGAGTTTTCCACTCTTATCAATACATTTTTTCAATAATGTGACAAATACTGTTAGTGTATAATAATAGTGTATAGCTATTATAGCATTAGTGTATAGCTTTATATTTATTAATGTAAAGTAATATAAAGTAAAGCTTGTTTCATTTATGCTTTTGGTGCTTACATTTGGCATCCTATGTCCTCTTCTCTATAAATAGAGTGAACTTCTCTTTGTAAATCTGCACATAACAAACATAACATATAAATACAGAGTTATTCCTTTTCTCTCTCTCTCTTTCTCTCTACCAAACTATTGTTTCATGGTATCAGAGCGCAGTTATACAATTCTGGCATTTTTCAATTTTGGTGCTTAGTCCCGTACACAGTGGCACTACATCAAACACAGCTCAGAATCTTCTTACGATTCCAACGGCACCGCGCCCGTCACCATAAACGCCACCAAACAATTCGGAATCTCTTTACGATTCCAACGGCACCACGCCTGTCACCAGAAACGCCTTCACGTGCTCCCACGCGCCGCCTTTGTGATCGGCGCGCCTCTGCTTCCGTCGCCACTCTCACACGCGCCTTCAGCTCTGCTTTCGTGCGTCGTGCCTGCTATCGTGCACCTGCGTGCGCCATCCTTCTACCGTGAGCCGCGCGTGCGCCATTCTGCTATTGTGCACCCGCGTGCGCCAGCCTGCTATCGTGAGCCGCGCGTGTGCCAGTCCGCTACCGTGCACCGCACGCCTTTCTTGCTATCGTGCTCCTTACTACACCCAGCTAACGTGCGCCGCTGACATTATTTTACATCATGCTGACGTCATCTCTGCACATCACACCTTTCCTAGCTATTTTCGACCTTCCGGACTCACTAGTACACTCTGTTTTACCTAATTTTGCTCCTGCAGGTCTATTCCTATTGATTTAGCCCTACTCAACTATTATTATAGATTGTCATGATGCCTCCCATCCCATTTTCGTTATTTTGAATGGTTCCAACTATGTTCTGTGGGCCCAAGCCATGTCTTTCTTCCTCAAAGGAAAGAAGCTCTGGCGAATTATCACCAGGGATGTGACCTAACCGTTGAAAGACATTGATGAAACTATTGTTACTACTACTATTGCTGCTACATATGAAGACCGACTTGAGATATGGGACAGTAAGAATTACCAAATCATTACCTGGTTTCGAAATACCTCTGTTACCTCTATTAGTCTTCAGTTTGGTCGTTTTCAACTTGACTCTGTAACTACTTCTGCAAAAGACATCTGGGATTTTTTGAAAGAACGATACCAGACTACTGGTCTTGCCTATCAATATCAACTTCAGAGTCAACTTCACCGCATGCGCCAAGAATCCAATCAGTTCATTAATGACTTTATTTCTCAAATGTATTCTGTTTGGGACCAGCTTGCTCTTTCAGAACTGACTTGGCCCCACCGAGAAGATGCTGTTTTATTTATTATCTATCGTAATCAGCAAAGGTTGGTGCACTTTCTCATGGCTCTCACTTCCTCTTTTGAGCCCGTACGTGTCTCTCTTCTTCATCGCCATCCATTGCCCATTCTTGAACAAGCTATTTCTGAGCTGCTATCAGAGGAGACTCGTCTTGGTGCTCTTCAAACTCATCATGTGGACTATGTTCTTGCCACTCCTCAGTACCGTCATCATTTACCCAGCGGACCACTACCTGCCTCTATTGTCAGAATCGGGGCCTTCCTTCAACACGTCTCCTGGTCAATTGCCCCGTCAGATCCTGCCGATACTGCAACAAACTTGGTCCTGGTCATCTACAACAGGATTGTTTTCGCAATACATCCCGATCATCTTCCAATAGCCACTCCTCTCGCAGTGGTTCTTCCCGGGAGAGCTTTCATCGTTCTGGGAATCAGTCTCATCACACTGTTGCTGCTGCCTCTAAGGGTTTCTCTGAGTCACCTGCTCCATCTACCTCTCTATTTTCTCAAACGGATGTAGAGGCCATGTTCAAACACTTTCTCTCCCCTTCTGGTACACCTCCTCCTACTGATTTGTCTGTTATCCCAGGTAACTCTTCTTGGTATTTTGACTTTGCATATGACCTCCAGTTCTACTATATTTTCTTCTATCTCTTCATCTTCTCATATTTCCTCAATTCATACTACTGGTGGTTCTCTCATGTCTGTCCGTCATGTTGGTACTATTTCCACATCTTCTTTATCTTTACCTCAAATTTATCATATCCCTGCTCTCACCTTAAACCTTATTTCTATTGGTCAATTATGTGAACTTGGTCTAACTGTCACATTTTTTGCTACTGATTGTTTGGTGCAGGACCCTCAGACGGGGCAGACTATTGGGATCGGCCGTAAGCGCGGACATCTCTATGAACTCATTCACCTTCATGTTCCTGACTCTCCTCGATCGTTGCTCCTGCATCTGCTTCTTCATTATCTCATTTTCATCTTTGGCATTGTCGCTTAGGGCATATTTCTGTTAATCGCTTAAAGTCTTTGGTTTCTAGTGGACAATTGGGTCATGTAATTCCAGATAATTTTAATTGTCTACCCTGTCAACTTGCCAAACAACTTGCTTTATCATTCAATAAAAGTACTTATGTTTCCCATACACCTTTTGATCTTATACATTCGGATATTTGGGGCCCTTCCCCTACTACTACTATGGGGGATCTCGTTATTTTGTTATTTTTATTAATGATTTTTCCCGATTTACTTGGTTTTTTCTCATGAAAACTCGGTCTGAACTTAAACACCTTTATTATAGATTTGCCCAAATGGTCCACACCCAATTTTCCAAAACCATCAAACTTTTTTGCTCTGACAATGCTATGGAATATAAGGATTCAGATTTCCTTTCTTTTCTTCAGAGTCATGGTACACTGCCTCATCGTTCCTGTGCTGGCACGTCCCAGCAAAATGGCCGTACTGAACGGAAGCATCGACATATTCTTGACACTACTCGTGCTCTCTTTCTCTCTTCTTTTTGCCTTGAAAACTTTTGGAGAGAAGCTGCCCTCACTGTTGTCTATACTATCAATTATGCTCCTACCCCAGTAATCCATAATCAAACTCCCTTTGAACGTCTACATGGCACTCCCCCTCCATACACCAATCTTCGAGTTTTTGGCTCTGCCTGCTTTGTTCTGCTTCAATCCCATGAACACACCAAGCTTGAACCTCGTTCTTGTCTTTGTTGCTTTCTTGGGTATGGAATTGAACATAAAGGCTTTCGCTGTTGGGATCCTCTCTCTAAACGTCTTCGTATCTCCTGACATGTCATTTTCTGGGAGCACCAAATGTTTTCCTCCCTATCCTTCTTTCACTTATCCGCACTTTC